TAGAAATACAATATAATTGTAATGTGTGTGTGTGTTGTTTCATCAGTGTATAGTTCCCTACTTTAAGAGCATTTTAGTCATAGTCAAGTCTGATAGATCAACTATTAAATTTTGATTTTTAAAAATAGATTTGAATTATAGCTTTCAGAATAGGAAAGTTTCCCCTATAACCCCTAGTTCCTTCCTAGAATGTTGTTATATACATTTCACTGTTGTTGCTCACATATCCCAATTGTCTTTGCTTGCTTGATGCTTACTGAGATTTCAGCACCCTGAAGTTGGAGCTGGACTATTGAGAGGCATTATGACACCAAGGACTTCAGTGCTGGATTATGCAGCAAGCTTCTCAGCACTAATTTCTTCTATGCTACTTTTCGCAGCACCAGTATCCATATTGGGCATCAGTGCCATCAGCCTTGATAGATTTTATTTCTGGACCGAAATTCATACCACTCCCTCAGTATCAGGAAAACATACAACATGGGAGGACCACCTGCTGTTAGAGGAACTGATATCTTCATAGCTTTCCATTGGGGTGAACACCTACTCCGTAATAAAGGAGCTCACACTTCCATTGGCATTAAAAACATCCTACTCCCAGGATTGATTACCTTGCTACCTGCTTTGAAATTTAATATTCCATCTTGACAGCCCATTCCTTAACTATGGAGCTCTCATACTCATCTCCTGGAGTACAGTGGTCTAAAGTTGCAGCAGGGGAAGTTTAAGTTAGACATTAAAAAAAACTCTTTCACTAGGAGGGTAGTAAAACACTGGAACAAGTTGCCCAGAGAGGTGGTGGATTCTTGATCCTTGGAGGTTTTTAAGACCCAGCTAGACAAAGCCTTTTCTGGGATGATCTAGTTAGGGATGGTCCTACTTTGGCCAAGGGATTGGACTAGATGACCTCCTGAGGTCCCTTCCAACCCTAATTTTATATGATTCAGTGATTCTATGAAATGCAGTAGAGAAATCCTGTACTTATTTCCCAAAGGTTCCTTCTTATGTGTTCTGAGAGTCAGAAAGAGAGAATTCTTTTTCCACAAAATTCTCAGATTATAAGGGTAAGCAAATGATCCAAAACCCTTCTGCATAGCCGCCTCATTCTTATCTTTACAATATTCCATCATTACTATATTAGAATTCTTTACTGTGCATGCGTTAATCATCTGCACAACCCCTATTCCAAGGCAAAAATCTATGGTGTCAGACAAGAAAATACAATTGAGAGCCAAAGTAGGAAATTTCCTTTTTGCAAAGGAAAAACATCGAAGACTGAGAACTGAAAAATTATCAGCAGCAGTACTGTCTTTATTCCATCTCCCCTAATATTATGAGAACTTCTAAAGAACTGCTCAGGCACATAGCCAAGTCTCTCCCACATTCCACCAGAAAAAGGCTGCAGGAAACTCCATGTAGACTGCTAGATATTTTTTCCTATGCCTTGATGCTGAACCTGTGGAAATCCTCATCAATAAGACTACTGGGTCCTGACAGACTTCTTTGATAATCATCTGGAGACAGGGTATTGAATGCCATCTGCTAGGGGTAAAAAAAAAAGCTTTACATGAATCCAGTATCTGGCTTATTGGTGGCTGCAGCAACTGATGAACAAAAACCTGGGGCATTAAGTGAAACAGAGCCCAAATGTATTCATTTATTAGATTAGAAATATTACTTCTCCTCCTACAGTTCAGAATTCCTAACTGTCAAGCATTGTTGGCCCCTTAGAATGTTTGAAAGCTTTATAGATTTATTAGTAAATACCTCAAATAAGCAGGGATGAGTTTAAATCTTTAATAACAACAGGATGTTATCTAAAATGTCCATACAGGCAGCTGTAGACACTGCTTCATAAGCCAGGGCCATGAGGCAGAGGTATACGTGGCTCTAAAGTTAGGTATTTTACGGGAAACACAAACTACTTTTCCTCACTGGAGGTGTTCTTATGTGGAATAATATTTTGGGGGCCTCACATTAACCTTAAATATAAGCATTATAGCACTATAAGCATTATTATAACCTTAACTATTAACCACATTAACTATAAGCAGAGTTAAAAATGAACAGGTTAACTAAGCACATTGTGGAAAACCAAAGGTGTTTAAGAACAAGTTAGACAAATCTGACAAGGATGGCCTACATATCATGCCTCAGACCAGGGGAATGGACAGAATGACATTTTAAAGTGGCTAACAGTTCTACATTTCTGTGATTTCTCCCCAGTCACTGAACCTGGTAACAGTAGATTGCTGGTCCCTAGAGATGGTTTCAGTAGCTTATTTCATACAGTTCTTTTGTAAAATGAGCCCTCACCATCTACCCCAGCCCTTTTTAGGGATCCTTCTCAGGACACAATATTACAACAGTAGGTAGCCTTCAAAAGAAAAAGGATCTAGTCCAGTACAAATGGAATAGAAACTTTTCCTTTACTTCCTTCTACTGAAGGACAAGGTGGCAGCAGGGAGAAAGGGAAATGACATGCAATTCTAGATTTCAGGGGATTCACTACCTTCATCTGGTGCTTCATATTCAGATTGGTGTCCTTAGCCTCTATAGCAGATATAATTCCATATCTAGATCTGCAAGGATTGATTTGCAGCTCATAACCTATAGAATATCTGCTTCTATATATCCGGTGTGCAGGAAGTACTTAAGATTCCAAATGGGACAGACCCACCTTCAAAACAAGGTTTTACACTTTGATCTGTCCAGACCAGCAGGGATATTCAGCAGAATCCTAGCAATTGTGATTGCTAACCTGAAGAGGAGACAAGGGCATAATCTATCCATGTCCAGACAACCAGCTCACCCAGGAAAATTCACTACAACAGGAAGAAAATTATATCCATCAGATTATTCAGCTATTTGTTGCCTTTTTTCTAACAACAAACAATAAAAAGTTCTTGTGAACACTGACACAGTAAATAGAATACAAATGATTTGACACAAAAGCCCAAGCCTCGCTGTCCCAATACACATTTGAAAACTTTTCCAGCCATATAACTCAACTTCAAACAATACTATAGGCAAGAACTTGTCAAAATGTTCTCAGATATATGGCCTGTAGTATGTCACATTACACCTATACCAAGTACTGGGTTGGCCAAAATCTGTGTGTGTAGTAATAAGAAAGCAGCATGCCTCTGGTTTCTTTTGCTAAAGACCCTAACAAGATATGCAGCAGAATGTCCCTCCCAACAAAAACTTTACTGACATGTATATCCATTCTGGGAAGAGACAGCTATGTGGACCGCTATCAACCCATAAGGCACACAAAGTTTGCAAGGCTTGGATGAGGTTTGTATCGCTGATTCAGGGATTGACTATTCAAAATTATGATCAACAAGAATCATATTTTATATAAAAAACACGAGGTACTATCAAATGCAAGTAAAAAGCTACTTACCTTCACAGTAACAAGTTCATGATGTGTTGTCCAGCAAGAGTCTTATGATAGTGGGATTCTGCAGAAAGATGCAAGCAGAAATTAGACCCACGCTTCCATTTACGACCTCAGTATAGGGGCCTGAGGACATTCAAAATGCATTTGCTGTCCTGCTGAACGCTGCTCACCAAGAAGGTGCTTAGGTGCATGGGGCATATGCACACCAAGAGTAGACAGAACTTTGTGAAGAACTCCAGGTAGTATAGAGATAAGTACATTTTGCTTTTTAAATTTAAAAAAACATGTAGCCTTTGAAACCAGCAAAAGCAACCAACTTTGGATTACATTCCTCAAGTTTCAGAATCTATTCCTTTTATGTTCAAAAGATAATTCGTTTCATTTTGGGCTTTTTATTTTTAAAGGAAAATGGTTTTACAGCTAGAAAATGTGTTTCCACTCCCTCTGGATCAGGGCATTTGGGGATGAAGGGGAGGGACTGGGAACATGCCGCTGTTACTTGAATTTTAGAACACTGCTACACACACTTCAAAACATGGGCCACTGATAGAAGGATTCAGTGCTGAAGATGAGCACTTAAAAGTTGTATGGTTCTAATAGAAATTAAAAAGAAATGTAAATGTTTTTCAGCCTTGTTATAGAAATGGCTGTTAGCAACCAGCCTAAAATAGCAATGTTAATTCACTGACACTATGATGTCAGAGTTTTACTTCTTGACTTGCATATTTTAAATTTGCAACCAATCGTTCATCTAATAGACGTGTAAAAGTAGACCTACATTTTATTGTTTTTAGTGTTGTGTATTTAAGGCTTCCCATGCATCCATGGCAGAGACTAACTTCAATTTTCTTTTTTTTCCCCTGCTGCATAGAAATTGCTTCCCAAAACAGACTGCAGCCCAGGTGACTCTCAAAGCCATTTCCGCCCATTTTGATGACACCAGCTCTTCCTCCTTGAAGAACATTTACTTTCTGCTCTTTGACAGTGAGAGCATCGGCATCTATGTGCAAGAAATGGCCAAGCTAGACACCAAGTAGCAATGGCAGCCAAATTAAACTTTATTTTTCAACATAAATTTGAGTAGCATTAAAAGCATTAGAGGTTTTATTTTTAAAATGTGCTGAGGAGGGGGAAATGATAGTAGTGTGATGTTTTGTGACTTGATGGAGAGCTTTTGCTATGGATGAGAGGGTTTAGTCCATGATTACTTCATGCTGTTGGCACCCTCTACCATTTCATATCACCTAGAAGAAATCTTAATTATTTTACCAGCTGTCTTCAGGAATTTGTTTAACGTGTCTCCTTGTTCTTTTAGCTTAGGACTTCTAAAAGTAACCTCATTTTAGATTTGTAGCAATGAATTTTACACACACATACCTTGTTTAAAGAAAGCTCTTAATTTTGTATTCCCTTTTCTGTTCTTGAGGGTGGATGGCAAAAATGTTCATTTTTTGTCTACATTCCATGGTGGAGAGAGAATTTCAAAGACAACGCATGATGAGCTTCTATTTTGTTTTAGTTCATAATCTCTGTAATTACTGAGGATATTTCATCTTGGATTTTTTGTTTGTTTTATAAGAAAAAACAAAAAAGAAAAAGTGCCAAGTGTATTTATTATAAACTTTCTATGAAGTTAAGACACATTTCATCCTCTTCCTACATACACACACACACGCACACACTCAATAGTATCTCCAGGGGGTAAGAGTTTCTGACGCATGTGTATCAGGCACAAATAGTGTGGGTGGTATTGGGCAAAAATGGATGGCTTTTGGAGCCATTTTTCCACTGTTCAAATTTAAAAAAAAAAAAAAAATCAGTATCAACTTAATTCCTTTATCTATTTTAGCATGTGAATTAAATAGAAAAAAGTTTCATGAAAAGTTACTGTCTGTGCAGATTATCTGAACACTAAACGCCTTTAAAAAAAATGACATTCTTAATAGATGCCCTTTAGTACAGTATCAATTCATCACCAATGCCAGTGCAGTTCATGTATTTTTTTTAAATGATGCACATTTTAACGCTTTCCAACTATTAATCAGTTGCTGCATTTCCTTGCCTCTTCAAGACTGTCCCTTTTGATTAATAGGGCATAGTTTGCCCCATAGTCTTCCAGCTCTTAGAGATGAAAAGATCCCGGCTCTTGGCAATAGTCACCAAAAGACGTCCCACGTAGCATCCATTAATCTGGCCTACCCCATCATTCCTGCCCATTGACAACAGGAAGCTTAATGATCCTAGATAGGAGACAAAAAAAAGCCATTTAACTGAAAGGAAGAACAGTGATTTCACCAAGAGTGAAACTGGTTATAGCAAATCCATTCTCATTCTGTAGGTCTGAAGATAAGCATCCAGCGCAGATCCAGGGGGGCGCAGCAGTGTGGTTGCACTCTCCCCTTCTGCCGATGCCTCTGGCTGACCCAGGCACAGGGGAAACTTGTCATAAGCAGCATCTTAGGTTTAGCAGAGGGCAGCTGGCAGGTTTCCTTCCCATACCTGCTCTCTGCCGTTTCCTACAGCCCAGAGGTGGGCAATTACGTTGGGCGCAGGGCCACTTAGTGAGTTTCGGCAAGTCATCGAGGGTCACGTGGCTAGCCCCACCCCTTGACAAATGTGCCGCCCCATGGCTGCCATCTTGGGACCAGAAGTCCCACCCCTAGCCCCTGACTCTTGCCACCAGAAGTTCCTCCCCTTGTCCCCTGGAAGTACTCCTTTCAGCAAGGTGGTTTGCCGTCTTGGAACCAGAAAAGTACCAAATTCCTGCAAGCCTGGCCCCGGTGCACCAGCATGGGCCCTGTACTCCCGCACACTGCCATTTCCACCCCCATTTGCCGCTGCTGTCTTTCTCTTGCCACTTCCTGCTCCCCCCCTCCAGCTCATGGCTCCAGCACCACCTCCCAGCGGCTCCTGCAATCCCGGTGATGCAGCCAGGAACTGGGTGGTGCCAGAGCCGCCGGCGAGGACGAAAGGGCAGCGAGCAGGAGCGCGGAGCGCAGCAACAGCTGGGTGGGAGTACGCGGCCCGCGCCAGCAGTGGGGCCCAGAGCGGGGCAGCAGGAGCGCGGGGTCTGGGCCAGCAGAGATCTACAGAGCCGGGCTGGCTCCTCCTCTCCCTGCTTGAGCAGCACAGCGCGGCTCCATATAGGCCCTGCTGGGCCGAACCCCATTTTCCTGGGCAAAAACTGCTCGGCGCGAAGGAAAGTACCTGCCTCCCCTCGCCGCCACCAGGCAGTCTTAGCAGCATCCTCCCAGAGCGTGTGCCGCGCTACCTGCGGCCGGCTCCTTCACCGCTGCATCTCTGCTGCCCAGCACAGCAGCAGTGACTGTGTTCATGAAGCAGCCGCCCTGCAGCCTCGCGTGGTGCCGGCTATGAGTGGCCACAGCAAAAACTGCCTGGTGGACGCGGAGGAGCCCAGACTGGCGTGGGGCCCGGGCTCGGGCTCAGGTTCAGCAGCAGCAGCGTGGGACAAACTGCTGCTCAGCGCGGGGGAAAAGCAACCCCTCCCTCTTCCCTTCCCACTGCCGGCGCTCCCTGCCTGTGCCTGGTCTGAGGCCAGGTGCGGTGGTGATATGGCAGAGACACGGGACAGCCCCACATGGCGTCCAGGCAGCTGTACCAGGAAGCGCCGGCTATGGAGAGGGGCTGCTTCCCCCCGCACTGAGCAGCAGTTTATCCCGTACCACTGCTGCTCAGGCTGGAGGGGCAAGCGCAGGGTGCGTAGGGTTGGCGTTGTGTGCTTGCCCCACCTGTACTGGGGAGCTGGGCCAGGGGGAACCAGAGACAGCCAGTGGGAGCGTGGAGCCTGCGCTGATGTCCCAGGGCCACGGCTGGTGGGGCCTGAAGTGGGGTAGCAGGAGCACAGGGTCCCAGCTGGCACAGGCTCTATGCAGCCAGGCTAGCTCCCCCCACTCCCTGCTGGCACAGCCCAGCCTGCCTCCAAAGACCCCTGCCAGTCTGTGCCCTGTGCTCCTGCCACTCCGCTCTGGGCCCCACCAGCACTGGCCCCAGAACACCAGCTCCCACGCGCCTGCTCACTTCCACTCCCCACTACCCCCACCGCCACTTTCCTGCCTGGACACCAGCTCCCACACACCTGCTCACTTCCAGTCCCTGCTACCCCCACCACCACTTTCCTGCCTGCCCGCCAGCCGCTCTGCAACACATGGCTCCCAGCTGCATGGCCAGACCACAGGCCTCAGCAGGAGCCGGCCCAGCCCCAAGGACTGGGGCAATTGCCTATGGTCCTCCCCTGCCTCCCCACCCCTACTTATCTGAATTTCCCGCTTCAGCGCAGGAAGGCACAAACAGCCCCACAGTCCCAGGCCAGAAGCCACTGTTAAGCAGGGGCTTCTGGCTGTGCGAGTGGGGCCAGGAAGGCCTTGCTGTTCAGGGTCCTGCCATGGCTTTGTCTAGGTCCTACTGCCCCGGCTCCTGTCATCTTTGGCAGTCAGCCTGGGGCAAATATTAATTTTCTAAATTTTTCAGGGGCCCTGCAGGCTGGATGGAATGGCCTGGTGGGCCGATGCGGCCCACAGGCCATATTTTGCCCACCCGTTATAGCCCAACTGGCTGTGAGGAGGTACTGAAAGGAGAAGCCTACTCCACTGCTGCTGCCATTGTACCCAGCTGAAGTAGGCCCAGGGGGAGTGCCAACTCTTGCTCTGCTCCAGCAAAAGACTGCAGAGAACAGGGTGCTAGTCTCAGCAGGAAAGAGTGGCAGCAGCATGCAGGTTATTCCTTCCAGTGCCTCCTCCCAGCTAGTAGGGTGGTGAGAAGCGGTGGGGGGCAGGTAGGAAGTAGGTCCTGGAAGGAAGAACTTGTATGCTGCTGCCACTGTCTATGGCTGAGCCTGGTTTGCTGCATGGTTGCTTCCCACAAACCTTGGTTAGAGCAGGGCAGGAACAGCTCTGGGGTTCTCCCCATACCACAGGCAGTGGGAGCAGCAGTGGTGGGCACCTGCTCCCTGCTTAGTTTACTGTTGTTCTCCACAAGCCTGGAACCTCCAACCACGCTTTGCCCCAATCCTCCTATGGTCTTCAGGGTGGTGCATTGTACCCCCTCTTGAATAAATCTGGATCTCTCCATGTTAGTACCTGATGTATTTCACAGGACAATGAGACCATATCCCATGGGGAAAAAATCCTTAAAATATCCCACCACCACTGTTCTTCAGATGGTCCAGTTCTATGGCCAATACTGCCTGGACAGCCTGTCTCAAAATTTTTTCACCTATATGAGCCAGGGAAGCAAGAAGCTCATCAGCTTCAGCATTTCCTCTTCTCATCAACCTAGCCTAAGCTGCTGTTCCAGGCTCCAGGAAGTCTTAGTCACTCAACCAGCACTTCTGGCTTCAAGGTCTTCCGCTGGCTGGTTCTACAGAAGAGCAAAGGAAGCATGCACTGTAACCCAATTGCTTCTCCCTTCTGGAAGAAGGTGGAGAGCAAGAAGCATCTTCAGGCCAGCTCTAACAGAGTAAGGAAACAAGAAAACACAATATTTGAATTCTGAAGAGAATTTTGTACAGGAAAAAAAGACGGTTTGGCTAAATGGCAAACTCAACAATTACAGAATCAAACTGTCTCATTCATTCCAGTCCCTTTGCCACTGGCTCAGGCTTCTTGCAGATGGACAGCAGTTGTACTCAGGTCACCATATGATTATAAAAACAACCTAGAAAAAGGTTGTTTGTTTGGGTTTTTGGTTTGTTTTTTTTTTGGGGGGGGGGGTTAGACTGAAAGCTGAAATTCTGGAAAATAATTTTGAAACAAGGAAAAGTCTACTGCAAATGCATGGAATCACAGAAACACTGGGCCCCCATAAGGAGTTTGCACAGCTATGCCCTTTAATTCTCACAGTTTACCAAACTGTAAATAAGGTTGCCTTGATGCATCCCCTTCCCTCTCCCCTGGTCCTAGGCCAAAGTTAACTTTCTGATAAACTGAAAGGGGTGGGTGGGGCGGGCGGGCGGGGCGGATAGGTTTCCATTTATGGAAAACTGATTTTCTCCAGTGCCAAGGCTGAAAACAAGAATGGCAAGAGAAGGCATATGTACACTTTTAAATACAATGAACCTACTTCCCCCTTCCCTGCTGCATACTACTCTAAAAACTCAAGAGTAACACCACTGAACTCATGAAGTTATACCAGTGTAAGACTAGATTTGCCTCTGAAGTGTGATTGCAGATTATCAGCATAGCCACCCCAGAGTTCTTGGAATACCTGCACATGAACTGGCATCAGAAGTGAGCTGGCAGCGCGCTCTGCTTCTTGCAGTACCTCACAGCTTAATCAGCAAATGATCAGTAGGAATGTGGGTAGTAATACTAGTAAATATTCACACAAGAAGTGCCATTGATTTAAATCAGATTAATTGGCTGACGAAAGGCCTGTTGTACAATTAAGATTTTACAGGTTCAGGTCCTAAAAAAAAGCTTTCAGTTAGATAGTCTCCTGACCTTAGGCTGTAATATCGTAACGTTATTAGCAACTCACTAAGACAATGATTTATTTTACAAATAGAAACCACTACATATACTCACCAGTCTCCTGGTAATCAATCAACAATTGTGAGAAAGAAAACTAAGCACCAGTTAATCAATATTATCCTTGTTTAGCTTACTCTCTTGTTTCTGCCAAATTCAAATTTTATGTACTTTCCTTCAATCTCTAAATAGTCCCATATAAGTTTTAGATCTGCATATTCCTTCAAAATAATTCCCTCAGAAATAAAGGAAGATTCCATCAGCTAAGATTTAGGAGGAGAGTCTAGCTTTACCTGGCTGGTAGGTTTTCAGAGGTTTCTGCGTCAGACTGTTGATGATGTTGGCCACCACAATGTTGGCATGGAGCCCTGCATGGTATGCCATCTTTGGCTCCTTCACATCAGCACAGTCACCAATCGCATAGATGTTATCATAGCCTTCCACCTGAAGGTGCTTGTTAACTTTTAAAGCACCATTACTTGCCATCTTGTCCTCTGTTTTAATCAATCCAAAAACAGAAAGCCAACAAACTGCATTAGTTGAATTAGCGATTAACTGAATACTACATGACAATGACAAATGACACTCAGAAAATTCCCCAGATGCTGGTAAATCAGTTAACAGAAATTACATTGTGCACACCAGGGAAAGGTGTGGAGAGAGGAGGAAAGCAAAGCTTGATTAAACAGATTTACTCCTGCAAGACAGGCAAAAGGCAGTACTTCCGGGTCTGCCAGGGAGTGCACTGGGCCCCCCCCACCCCACAAGCCACCGGCTCAGTGACTGGTGCCTCCTGGGTGGCGGGGAGGGGGTAGCACGCCCCCAGCAGACCCAGAAGTGGACCAGAAGTACTTCTGGGTTCATTGCCAAGCACATGGAGGACCCCTCTGCACTCCTGTGGGACGCTCCATGCGCCCCAGCATCGCAGCGTTCACAAGCCATGCTGGTACCTTGAGGTACATAGAACAAACATTTAAAGCTGTGTCTATGTCCAAATCGCTGATTCTCTGAATCAGCATCCAATCTTCAGATTCAGATTTGGCCGAATCAAATCAGGGAGTGAGTGATCCGAATCAGTGAATCAAACCACTGTCCCCAGTTCAGGCTGAATCCAAATCGAATAGGGCCTGCTTCACACACACGTAGTGGGCAAGCCAGGATCATAAGGTGGCAACTGCACAGGGCCAGGGCTGTGATCTGCTCCCCTCTGCCCGCACAACCAATGCTATTGCTGAGAAGTGCAGGAGGTGGATCACAGCTCTGCCCCAGGCCCTGGACCCACGCTATCACCACCCTGCTATCCCGGCCCTGGTTCCTGCATACCTATTCCACTCCTGGACGGTGCTTCCTGTCTGCCTGCAGCTTCATCCCATCTGCTTGATTGAGTGCACCCTGCCCTGTGGGAGTCCTGGCCCAGACTCCATGGAGAAACCGGTGGCCCTCCTGTTGGCTCTGCCTGGAGCCCTGGTAGTGGGTGTGGGGCAGACTGACAACAGCAGCCAGGCAGAGTGAGCTGCCACTGAGGGGGGCTGCCATGTTGCCCCCACCGCACAGTGCACCTCGGGCAGCAGGGCTGGCCTCACATGCCACAACCCAGGGTTGCCCCCATGCTTGAGCTGGGCAGGGCTGAGGGACCCACTGCAGGCTGGACAGAATCCCTTGGTGGGCTGGATCCTGCCTGCAGGCCATATTTTGCCCACCCTGGGTCGAAAGCACCATTACTAATACATGTGTAGTACAAACAAGTCTATATGCCAAAGAGTTCTTGAAGGGTATTGAGCTTTATGCACTTATTTGCTACAGAATCGTATGTCTAATGATTGCCTTGGATGGCAGGTGTAATTAATTTGATAGAATGAGTGCAGTCATTAGAGAATATTTGTCCTCAGCCTGCCAACTACATGGTTTAGCATATCTGACATTCTCTATAGTTAACCACTGCAGAATTGAAACAGCAACTGTGGTGGGTCAGGATGGTAAGAACTGGAGTGAATCCTGGACTTACAGAATCATAGAAAATGAGGGTTGGAAGGGACCTCAGGAGGTCATCTAGTCCAACCTCCTGCTCAAAGCAGGACCAGCACCAGCTAGATCACCCCAACCTAGGCTTTGTCTAGCCAGGTCTTAAAAACCTGCAAGGATGGAGAGTCCACAATTTCTCTGACTAACCTGTTCCAGTGTTTTACTACCCTCCTCATGAGAAAGTTTTTCCTAATATCTAACCTAAACTTCCTTTGCTGTAACTTGAGACCATTGCTCCTCATTCCGTCATCTGCCACCACTGAGAACAGTCCAGTTCCATCCTCTTTGGAACACCCCCCTTCAGGTAGTTGAAGACCGCTATTAAATCCTTTTTCAGTCTTCTTTTCTCCATACTAAATAAGCCCTGTTCCCTCAGCCTCTCCTCAGAAGTCATGTTCCTGAGCCCTCTACCCATTTTCTTTACCCTCCTCTGGACTCTTTCCAATTTGTCTACATCTTTTCTGTAGTGGGGGGCCCAAAACTGGACAGAGTACTCCAGATTGCTTTACTGGAAATTGCTTTACCACGGAAATTTTGTCATGGTCTTCAGTGGGGCTAAGATTTAACCCCAGAACTACAAATGTTAGAGTGCGCTGGGAGTTCAGCTAATAGCAGGAAAAGGTAAAGAGAAAAATCTAAACAAGTGGGAGAGGGCATAAATATATGCCCTCTCCCACAGACTCCCCCCAAACAAGATGTAAAAAGCAAGTGTAAACTTTGACCAGAGATTAGACACCATTAACAATACCAAATTAATTGTCAACAGTTTGCAAAATATCCTTAACATAGCATTGCATGCCAACCCACTACCAACTCAAATTTGAAGCATTTTCTTACAAGGATTGAAGAAAGTGGTCTGTTACACCCTATAAAGTAGTTTTCACTTACTGAATGCAGTGTTATATGCTGATGAATTGATCTTTATCCCAGTGCAGAGAATCACCAGGTCAGCAGCAATCTCTGTGCCCTTATCTGTCTTTACTACCATATCCTCCTGGAACTGATTTAATGTCAGCATCTGCAGGTTGCTGACACTTTCACCTGTTGTAAAAAGCAGAACGGAGGTCTTTGTGATCATCATTAGTAGATTAAAGCACTACCCTCTAGGCAGCATATGCCACATCCTTAGGTACCAAAGCCTAGCATGTCATTCCCATTTCTTTTTAAAATGGCATCAAATGCTTTTATAAGGAACATTTGGAATACTGATAAAGACAGAAAATCTATTTCACACACAGAATATTAATATATCCCCTACACCAGTGATTCTCAGCCACTTTAGACTTGAGTCACCCCTGGATAGACTTCAAGCACTCCTGGATTCACTTATGTTACTCCTCAGAAAATGCCAACTCTTAGTTTTTACTCTCTGACTACTGAAAAATAATAGAGCAGTTTTTCTGTTGCAAAGACCCTGGAAAGACCACAATTATGAATTTCTGTTTGAAATCTCTGTGTATTTTGTGAAACATTTGCAAACCTAACAGTGCTAACATTGTATGGCACCTATGAAAGGATCTCAAGGCACCCTAGGGTGCCATTGCACCCTGGCTGAGAATCACTGCCCTTAACCTTTGTTTCAGACACAAAGAACCACATACTGTTTCTGCCAGAAAACTGGAGTACATCATAATCTTTGTTCTGAATTTCTACTATTCATTTTTATATTCTGTAAGGCACCTTCACTTCCAAGGGGCATCTTTCATCTCTGCAGCTAGGCCACGAGTCTTTCCATTATCAGAAAGGCTTGCTCCCATAATGGTCTAAACTAGAGGCACACCGATACATTGGTCCAATATTGGATCAGCACCAATATAAAGAAAATTGTCTATATCGAAAACTCGGCCTGATGTGACTGATAACTTTGCTGATAAATGGCCTGTGCATGCACACAGCCACAGCGCAGCACATAGGCAGTGAGGAGCATGGCCCAGCAGCTGGCAAGTCTGGTGTGGTCGGAGGGAAGGGACAGATCAGTGCCAGAGGGCGAGGGGGGCACACAGAACAGAGCCGTAGCTTGTCCAGGGGGTGCAGGGAAGTGGGGAGGGGGCTCCCACTGCTGCACACCACTCGTCTGGTGGCTTGTCCACCTGCTCCTGCCACTTATCCAGGAGGGCACGTGCCCCTGGATCTGTACGGGGCAGGGTCATGGTGAATTTTTGGATGGCTGCAGCCCCTCCGCCCCCTCCCAGCGCTGCCACTGCCCACCCTGAGAGCAGCCCAGCCAAGCCCCGACCCTGGCCAGCCCTGCACAGATCCGGATCCCCGCCCTGTGCCCTCCCAGGGTGCGGAGTGGTGGGAACCACACACCCCCTCCCCAGACAAGCTGCGGCTCCGCCCCACACACCATCTTGCCATAGCTGGGCAGCACCTGCCCCAGCCCCTGTCCCAGCCCTACTCACTCCCTCACCACAGGGAACTGCCACCCCACATCCCTTCCCACCACAACAGACTTACCAGCTGCACTCAGCTGTATCAGAAATTGAATTGGTATTGGCCGATATGCTTTCTTAAAAATCAGTATCGGCCCCAAAAATCTCTATTGGTACACCCCTAGTCTGAACAGCTGGTATGTGGTGTTGGGTGCCATTCTTCCCCTGAAGTCAGCACTGTTGTACACCAAGCAGTTTACATTGCTAGATGCTGAAATATGGATTTTGACCCTTGCATTAAAAAAAAAAAAAAAGGGCAATGTTGTTATATGTATAACTGACAGTATTGCCTATAGTTAATATTGCCCTACACCTTACATTAGAAGCAACTCAAAATAAAGAGTAATATAAAACTGCCAAATTTTAACCATTTAGGATTGAAATTTTTATGCCAGCTGCTTGTCTCAAGCCAGCATTTTCAATTTTCACTAATATGATTCAGCTATTTCAGAGAATGAGATTGCATAAAATAATTACATGGTTTTGCCCATAAAATTTGTCCAATTTTACTGACTGGCTCTGTAATTTCCATGCTTTCGAACATGGAGGGAGGCTTACCAATGATGAAAGTTAGGAATAGGCCCCAAAGAGAACTACATAAGATTGACCCATACCTGTAGGGGGCAGATTAGAAAAGCAAAGGTGGTGACTGAGTTTATGTTAGCAAACAAAAAACAAACAAAACAAAAAAATCAAGGACAATAAGAAGTCCTTCTATAGGTATGTAGGCAACAGAAGGAAAACTAGTGGAAACATGGGACCACTGTCCAATGCATCTAGACATCTGATCACTAACACCAAGGAGAAAACTGAATTCCTGAATGAGTACTTTGCATCTGTATCCCACCAGTCTGAGTAATAGCCTGCCAAATGCAAATATGACACAGAATAGTCACAGTAGGGATGATCACCTACCAACAGTCAATGTAGAGTTCACATGCAGCTGATGAACTCAGACTAGTGGAGCAAGTGCAACAGCACATGGAAGCGGGGTTTGCAGCCTCCCCACCAGAGCTGTCCCTAGGGGTGTCTGGAGCCTGGGGAATATTAGTCCATGTGGGGCTGGGGGGAGAAGGGAAATCTGACAGCTATGAGTATAAATGAGAAGCTAGGAATTTTAGAAAAATTGATCAGAGACGCAGAAGGACCCAAGGAGAAATCAAAGGACAATGTGAAGGAGACTTTTAAGTGCATTATGAGCAAAGGAAACCCTAATAATGGCATCAGCCCATTACTAAGTTGAAGTGGTCAGAGTCAATAATAACGTAGCTATAAAGGCAAAACTGACTATTTCCCTTCTAAGTTCAGGGATAAAGCCAAGTATGTGGATATAATATGTGATGACGATTAAATATTTTCTATACCAAAAGCAACTCAGGGGGATGTAAAGTAGCGGCTGCAAACACCAACTTTTTTTAAATGAGCAAGTCCAGACAATCTGAATCCAAGAGTTTGTAAAGAAC